AATCTGTCCTGCATAGTGACAACAAGTTGTTTTTCTTTCAGACCATTCAAGCTCGAAAAGAGATCAAAATCTAAAAATATTTGCAAATGAAGAACGTTGAAGCAAAGATGGCCATGGGGTAATGGTTCTATAAATAATTTCACAGCTACAGACTATCAAGGTCTAAATTCCTTTATCTGGTCACCCAAGCTCACCACAAACCACACACACCTCCAAAATAAAAATAAAAATGAAATATTTATAGTCGATTGTAGTTGTTTATTTTTATCTTAAATGAAGCCGAATATATCAAACTTTCAATAGATTTTTTTTTAAAATGTCATGGAAAGTCACTGTTTTGCTGTTCGAGCCTCGTAGCTTATACTTATACATGTAATAGCACACTGCGTCTTACGACTGATATTGACCGGGGGAGACAGATATGTGAGGCAGCGTGGTGAAATCAGGCGCTCGTCTAAATAATTAAGATAAAAGTGAAGAAACTGGCATTTTTCTGCAGATTTGTGAGTTTTTATAAAATTTTTAGGGGTTTTGGCTTAACGCCTGTCATGCCCATTAACCCTATCCGTTCGTCGTGTTTTACTATCATATCCATACGACGTGGGGATCTCTGGGCTACCACTTTCCAAAGAGGAAATTTATTGGTTAATCTGATCCGTACGCTTTGCATAGCAGTCTGTCAAAATGATTTTTTGAGAAATTACTGCAATTTTAAGTTTCAACGAGATCCTTGCACTAGAAGTATTCTCAAATGTGAAGAAACTACCCCGGGAGTACAAAATGTTTAAAGGATTAAAGATCACATATTTTCTGTGTGGATTTTGCTTAAAAACGATTACAGGCACAAAAAAAGTAAATTTCCATTTCTCATAGACTCCCAAACTAAGGAAATAACTCGTCTTTGGCAGCCATTTTAACATTTCTTTTACATCTGAAACAAGATGACCCCCAGCTCCTTCATTCGAAAATATCTCGACTTCTATTCAAGATAAATGGATATTTTTTTCACCCAAAGCAAGACAAATGAACAACCCTTAAGATGATACCGGTATCAATATATAACTCTACATGCCCCAAATTGACGAGCTCTCGATTCCACCTTGTCGCGACACATACCATTGCTAAGATTGTACGAAACCCCCGCAAGATAGTTTATACTGTCTGTAAAAAGTGTCCTCAGCAATCCATGCATTTTATAGTCGCAACTGGTCTTTAAAAGAATTATTTGGGTGTGTTTTCAGGAGTACAACTATGATGCATGTAGTATTTTTTTAAAAATTAATTGGTAGATGTTTAGTTTTAGTAAGATTTTAATGGCACCTAAAACACAGACGTCAAAAAGTGCCGAAGATCACAGGTGTTACGGACTAGAGAGTAACATACAAAGGAAAGGAGGAACGATGGTGATAAATGTTTGAAAGGAAAGGTGCAGGCCACACCAATGCACCCACCAACCACCCACTATTTGTAGAATAATCTGAGCTCTTACTCTTACTCTACAACAGCTCCAGATATCATGGTGCATATTAATATAATTTTATGCCGCCACCTAGATGATTTTTATGTCTCAACTAGAAAATTTTAATGACTTTTTCTAAAGTTTTCAGTGCGGTTGCTTGGGGGAGCTCTGGTGTGGTTAGCTCCTTCTTTCAGATCAATCATCCATCGCCCCGATTTCTCCTTTTTTTTGGCATTTGTTACCCTCTTTTAACACCTCAAAATCTTTCGCACTTCTATGACTTTATTGTGCTGCAAGAGCAGTAAAACTCTTAATTAAAAAAACTAGATGTTCAGTGCAGTGTACCCTCGTCTTAAAAGTCAATTTTCAAGATCAAAAGTCCCAGAATAGATGTCCTTCAATAGCATGGATGCGACAAACTATTCATTAGACACATTTTGCTTCTTCAGAAGGCACACTGAGGCACAATTTCACACTTTAAAACTTTATTTTTCTGGATGGATTGCAGGCGTTTTCCCGCCCCCATCGACACAATTTTGATAATTTAAGGGTTGTTAAGCAGGTTCACCCTAACCTGTCAGGGCCAACCTGGGCTGAGAGAAAACATCGTCTCAACAGTAGGACAGCAATGTTTGATCAAATTTCCCACATGGGAATCAAACTCGGGTCTTCTGCATGTGATAGTGAAGTGACAAACTGTGACACATACCACAGACGCCAGAAGAAAGTGGATGAAGGAATAAACATAAAGATGGAATCACCAGGGTTGGAGGAAGAAGACAAGAGCAATGTGGCTGAGAAAAGCAGAGGCAAATGCCAGAAAATGGCGAAACCTAAAGCAGAAAGACTGATTTCTTTTTCCGTATTCAGGTAGAAAGTTGTACTTTCAAAATTTTTAAATCTCTATCCTTCCTCTTCAGTGAAGTCTCAGAGACTGTTTTTGTTTTTTGCTTAACTTAAAAAGAAGTCTATGCATACCTACAAAAATGTGAAAAAGATTCAAACTCAACCTTGGCAAATTTGTAAATGGAAGTTTCCATCACAGAGTTAAAATAAGTCCCAGGTTTAAAATTATGTGAAGTCACAATACCTGTGTCTGAGATGAACTAAGAAAGTATGTCTAGTGAAAAAAGTACATTGCTCCATCCCAAATAGAAGACCTAATGACATGTAAAATTCTACAAAGTAGAAGCAAATTGGATTACTAGTCAGAGATTTCTGGGAAAAAAATTGAAAAAGTCCATATATTTGCTACAGACTTTTATTCTCAAAAATGCTGTGAGCAAAACAACCAACATGAACAATTTAAAAAATGAAAATCACAAGGAAGAAAATTCTCAAGTACACACAAGATACCTCGCACAGTTTGCACTGAACACACCTCCAAGCACTCACAGATTTTTCAACTCATCATCCACATACACAAAGGTCTCATAACAAATTTTAATTAACAAAAATGGACTTGCATCCATTTACGCTTAATATTTCATACACAAAATACCAAAAAATAGAACAGGCAAAAAAGGTTTCCTATACACTCACACCCAATGACCTGAGAGCACACAGTAAAAACTCTATAAAAACTCCAAACCAGTCACGCCTGCTTTATATTTAAAACGACTAGCTCTGAAGTTGCTTCTATTTGCTGCCTAAGGATGTGTTTTGAAGGCTGCTAGGAGAGTCCATGAGCTCCCATGTATACTCATAGCTGCCACTCAGGAATTTCAAAAAAGGAGGAAATTCATGCGAACGCGGACGCGCGCTCTCCGAAGGCTGGAGTGAAACCAGTGAGATCCAGAGGCAATATATACTGGAAAATGTAGCCTATGGTTTTGGAAGGGAAAACTGTCATATTTGTTAACCATAGGCAACTGAATTAAAATGTATTTGGAAAAAAAAACCCCAACAAAGGCACTAAGTAGACTAACAAGCATTTGAGTCAATTTGACACAGTTTGGACTTGGTGACTAAAAATCCAGAGTTTGTTGCAAGCTGGTGTCTTATAAAAAGATTTCTTTCTCTTTAAACTTGTACATCAATGTAGAGCGCGTGCAGTATTGGATCAAAGAGGCAACACCTTTGCCGCTGTACTGAGCACTCCTGTACAATTGCGGTCCCGTTTGCACTTAACTTAGTATAGTCCCTCTGTAGAGTGTAGATCTAACCTGAATTAAAATTACAGCCTAGGCTATCTAATCTAGATCTAGATATCTAAATATGTGTAAATCTAGATTATATCTAGATCTAGATCTAGATTCACTTCAACAGCCACAATAGCCGTCATGTAAACAAACGGGACCTCAATTGTACAGGAGTGCCGCGGGCCACGATTTCTTTATCGCACCAAACGCAAAGTGCAGCAAGCGGAGCTCCTTATAATTATTTTTGCATTCTGCATCAACTTCTCTCGAATTTCCGCCGTTTTCAATGACAACTCGGCGCGCTAACGTCCCGATGCCCGATCGACACTTTGTTGCTCCACAATAAACAAAGTGAAACTAACGCTCGGCCTAGAAGAACGGAAGCAGAAAGCTACGGGCGGACATGCGCAAGCTGCGTTTTCGTCTCTGTCCCGGTTCGGTGTTTTCCGCATGTAAAAAAGTATCGCAATTTGCGACCGAGAGCGGTCCCGCGGAGGAAGGTGGAAAGTAGCGGGAAAAGCTAGATGAAGCGGAGTTTCCGCTATTTAGCGGAAAAGTGGCAGCTATGTATACTACATCATAAAATGCTCAAATATCCTCTCGCCTTTCTCAACAAACTATCCTGAACAAACTATCAATGTAGCAAAAGGCTGAATCACTTGTGAAATCACACAAAGGCTGTCATAAATAAAAATTCACCACAAAGAAGAGAATGTCTACAGTAAATTTTTTATGTTGAAGCTTTAAATGCAACCTTTGCCTGATTTCCATCTAAGGTTGAAGAGCCCTGAACAGTCACAGGTGATTAAATCTCTGTAAAATTTTCTTTACAATCATGTTGCTCCCTATTTCTCTTACTAAAAAAAGGTTCTAGCTTGGCTTATTTACTTTCTTATACATCTGTGCACCTTGGAGGCAATTTGCATACACACACGCATGCACAACAGGGGGGGGGGAAAAAAAAAAAAAAAAAAGGAAAAAACCCGCACTCCATAATACTCCGTAGTCATCACACTTACAACAAGCATCCAAAACTTATCATGCCTCTTTCACGTCCTTGCCAGTTATCCCACACACACACCAAGCTCCCAACAGGCAACAAGGCGACCACACATGAGGGGGGAGCATATGGTAGAACCTGACTATTCTACAAACAGAACAAAATCAGCCAGACCGGGGGGAAAGTCAGTTCAGGAGGGAGGTTCTGAACTGTTCCCCACAGAGGATCTCCCCTCGTCTACTGGCTAACAGTGACTCTTCATCACGGTCATAACACGATTCATTGTCCAAGTCTTCCCACCCACTTTTTCAGTACAGATTTTGTTTCAGTAAGAGTATCATGGCACATGCAACACAAATGGCTGCTGAAGATACGAGGTGTTACTAAAGATTAACATATAAAATAAAGGAGGAGAGATGAAGACAAAAGCTATTAGATAGGAATGAAGGAACAGAGCAACCACCAACCACCCACTAGTTACTGAGATGATAAAGTAATGCTTGTTACCTTTCTAACATACTCTACATAGCAGGGTTTTGTATGGTGAACTTCAACACCCAATTACTGAGACATTTCCCCTTTGGCTCAAGTCATAGGGTTGACTTTAAGGGAAACACTGTTTTATTTAAGTTTTCTCAAACAAACAAAAATTGACTTTGGCAAGTGTGTTATGACCGTGACCTGTGGAAACGACAGATCAGGCTTTCGCCGAGGACTCTGAGCCGCTGCTGCTGTCACTGTCGCTGGACTTGCTGCCTGTGCTAGGTGGGGCTACCTTGGCCCTCATCGACTGCAACGCTTTCTCCCTCAGACGGCGCTCCAGGTCTTCACCCTTCTCATTGCTCTGAAAACGACAAAACAAAAACAGATAAATATATATTATTGAAGTAGCAGAAGCAACAGGCTGGATCACCTGAGAAATTTCGCATAAAAGGAAGGTATTGGCATTGGCAGCATAAAAAAAGCCTCCATTGTAACAAAAAATTCACAAGACATTTTTGGACAATGACCCCCTTTCAACACCTACAAACTTCTGTTGTAAAAATTCCCTTTGGTGAGGCTTTCATCTACATATATGACAATTAAAAAATCCCCCCCCCCCCTTTTTTTTGGGGGGGGGGGGCTTTTTTTCTGAACTGAAACAAAAGGCCAGAAATTTATTGGCAAATGAGTCTGCCATCAAGGGGGACTGCTTTATACACCATAGATGTGACTTTGTAATTGCCACTATGAAAAGCCCAAGCTGACTTTTGAGCACCGACGCATCCCACTATCCCCATAAGCTGAGAGACTACAGACAGCACAGGAAGCGGCTCACAAAATGGGTCACTGTTTTGACATTTTGAGATGGGAAACTTAGTCTGGCCAGAAAAGCCTGGCCACAGTGAACAGACTGCAAAATAATCAAGTCCACACAATAAATGTACATTCTAACAGACCCCCCCTCCAAAAAAAAAACAACAACAAACAAATGCGGTTCTAGCCCAGAGACACAGTCTGCCACATCAGTTCAAGGATTGTCCGCAAATTTTCAACTTTTGTCTTTCCATGCGCTTTAATGTCTATTTACATGGTATGAATCATAACAAAGCTTAAATATTGCATACTTGGAGAGGGGAGAGAGGGACATATATCATGATGACAATATGAATCTTTGGACACAACTAATAAACTAAACACAAATGGCACAAAAGGTATCATTAATATAATAGTGCTGTATTCAAAACTAGTAGAAAGTAAAATGCCTTGTCGGTAGCAACAGGTTACAAGTACAGGGAATACATAAGAGAAGCCATATTAAACAGTAAAAAATAAACTGTAATTTGAATAGACAAACTTTGAAAGAAATAGTTCACAAAAAAACAAAAAACAAAAAAACCGCCTGAAAACATTAACATTTTCCACCCACGCAGTGCACAGAGCGCGCAACACGTATCCCCAGGACCAGGATATAGGTGCGGTACATCGCCGATCCGTGTCCCATGGGGGCAAAGTGTTAAGGAGGCAAGTGAAAGAGAAGGGCAGTCACCCAAACAAACAAGCCGACAACAGATTCCAAACTAACGGAGAAATGCATTTTTCTTGTGAACATACTGGTACTAATTTTCCAAATAAATTTATTAGAAAATTAAGAGAAACAAAATAAAACTACTACACTATTAGTCTCCAATCCCCCCCCCCCCCCCCCCCCATCCCATGAGCAGCATGGTGCATGCTAGTTTGGTACTGGCAAGAAGAGTTTTACAGAGCTCTTAATTGAAAGAGGTCATATGAGTGCGCAAGAAGTTAGCAATGTTCACTAAAGTCTGTATCATGGCTTGGCTATTGATCAAAATAAATATTTATATTTTAGAGTAAAGGCCAATGGCCTTCATAAAATCAAGCATTCTCTTGGGATCAACAACGGAGAACAAATTCTGTAAATTTGTACATTTAAAATACTCTGGGTTTCTCCGAATTACGGACATTCTATCAGTATGTGTCTAATGACAAACACAAACCTCAAAGTCTCCTCCTTCCTTCCTGTGCTTATGTTTCTTGTGTTTCCTGTGCTTCTTGTGTTTCTTGTCCTTCTTCTTTTTCTTTTTCTTGGATCCCTCAGAATCAGACTCCTGAGAACATACGACAACAACATCTGATCAAAAACTTTGCATAGAAGAGCACTTCACACAATTAAAAAAACAAAACGTTAAGAGGCAAAGAGTGGTGGGCAAAAGAGGCAGACAAATAGGTGAGTAGCTAACTTGAAGAACTTAAACAGAAAAGAGACAGGAAAAGACCAAGACGTTGAACAAAGGACAATGTCACTGTGGTGCACAGAAGGCATACCAACTTTTTCAAAATTTTATCAGGGACAACAAATAACTTCCCAATGCTAAATGATACTATGATGAGAATTAAGCTAAATAAAAGCAAACAAAAAGGGATACTTTAAAAAAAACCAAAAAACGAGTATATGGAAAACAAACTATTTTCCCAAAGAAAACAGCAGCAAGTAAACTTCAAATACAGAAAAAAGGGTGTCATGAAAAATAAGTTTTAGTTTTAGTAAGTTTTACGGCACTAGCAACACAATAAGGACATATAAGTGCCGAAGATTAGAGGTGTTACAGGAGAGTAACAAACACAAATAAGGAGGAGAGATAAGGACGATAAACTTCCATGTCTAGATCATGGTCTACACTTTACAACACAATAGGAGTAAGTGTACATGAGTGCCTGTGTGGGTGCATGTATGGTGGCCGAGTATGTGAGTGTGTGAATGCATGAATAAATGTACTCACCGAGTCACTGTTACTGCCTGACTGCACTGGTTTCTCTTTGCTCTTCCTCACGGGCCGGGCAGGAGATTCATCCCCTCTGTCCCGCATCTTGCTCTGAGCATCCTTCCTACCCTCCGACCGCTGTTGCTCTTTTCCCTCCTTCCCATCCCGCCCGGGACTGACCGACTTTCTTCTCCGCGACTCCCTGGAATCTCGAGAAGGCCTGTCCGGGTTTTTCCCCTCGTCCCGCCCGTCTCTCGCCTTTGGCCGACTGCGACCACCGGCCGGGCTGCCGGGACTACCGGTACGACGGTTTCTGTCCTGACCATCGGGGGACCGGTGGTCGTCAGAGGACGCTGCTGGGGGCAGACGTGAGCGTGGGGTGGGGCTGCGTGGGGAATCTCTCCCTCGCTTCTTAGCCGGGCCCGGGCTGGGGCTCCGGCTCCACTTGCTGCGGGATGGAGCCATCTTGCCGGAGGAGCTGGCTCCCATTTTAGGAGCTTCATCTTCATTGTCCGAGCTATCCTCGCTGCCGCTGCTGCTGCCTGAGTGGGCGGGTGGGGGGCGGGTTGGTTTCTCCGGCCCCAAGGGACTGCGCCGGCCCGACGATGAAGACTTTTTGTTGGTGGGGGGAGGGGAAGGGTTTCTCCTTGAGACCGGAGACCGGGACTTTCTCGCGGACCTGGGTCTCGGCGAAGGCGATCTGGTCTGCTTCTCCTTCCTCGCACGCGGCGACTCGCTCACCCGCTGTTTGTCTTTCTCCTTCCTCGGAGGTTCACCGTCATAAGACGATTCTGTGTCCTTCCTGCTGCGGCGCGGAGGGGGAGACAATCTGCTGCTGCGGGACTTGCTGCCTCTACCCGGGCTCTGATCCGACGTTCTCCGAGACTTGTCTGGTGAGCGGGACCGCCTGGTCGGCCTTTTGCCAGCACCATCTGCAGGCGAGGCCGTCCTCTTCCTCTGTTGGGGAGGAGGTGAGGCGGCCTTCTGCTTCTTCTTAGGGGGAGGTGGGGGAGTGCCAGACTCCTCCTCAGACTCGTCTTCACTGTCAGAGTCGGACGAGGAGGATTCGTCTTCTTCTTCCTCTTCTTTCTTCTTCGACGTTGCACTTTTGGGTGCGGGCCCCTTGGGAGGATGCCCCCTTCTCCCCTCTTTCCCCTTGGAGGCTGGCCGGTCTGTGCCAGGCGGCGTCGGTTCTCGCTCAGAGCCGGAGGAACTTGCGTCGTCTTCCGAGTCCGATCCAGAAGGAGACGGTTTCTTCTTGGACTTCACGGGAGGGGGAGAAACAGACGCTGGGGAGTGGCGCCGCTTTCTGGGGGGAGGGGAGGGCGTCCGGGAGGAATACTTGCGACCCTTGCGAGGCAGGGGAGACAACTGTCTTCCTGGTGAGCTGGACATACGGCGTCGAGGAGGTGGGGACGGACTTCGTCTGCGGGGAGGGCTGCCGCCTCGGCGCCTAATGGGTGCCAGGAAGAAAAGAAGGTGACTTGGTGACTGTCTTGGGGTTCCTTATGTACTACTTGAAGAATCTTTCTCCATAAACAATCATAGTGGATGCATACACATTTTGATGGTGTTATGTTCTAATAGGTAATTGGATTCTCAGAAATTTTTCGACACCTAGAAAAACCCTCCATGATTTAAGTGATGTGAGAAGACACCAAGTTAGCCCACAGTAATTGTATACAACTGTGTAGAGTGCTGTCTGACTCCTGATCTCTAATCTGGACTGGCATATTAACCCCTTGTTTGTTTCTTTGTTTTTGTAAAGTGTTTTACGGCGCTCGCAACTGCATAAGGTCATATGAGCGCGCGGGACACACCTAATATTTTCAGTTGGTAGGAAATTTGGAATTTTGCCCGGGTGGCGGCCGAAGCCTACTCTAATTGATTTTAGACCACCAAGGGATCTTTAACGTGTGCAACTTGCACACCGGCCCTCAGAGATTTTTCGCCCTTGTCCGAGAAGGCTAGGTGTAGATCTTTCCTACCAGAAGATCAGGGGTGTGGCTGAAAGACAGCAGTAAGAAGAAGCGAAGGAGTAGCAGTAGAAAGGCTGCAGAAAGAATCAGGAGCCCAGAGGAAGGGGCAAAGGAGGTGAAGGGGTGGGGGCAGAAAGAGGAGACGAAAGCAGACGACAGAACATTGCTAGAGAGCAGGAAATGAGGTGAAAGGAGACAAATTTAGAGAAGATAAATTTTTCGGTCGCTACCCGGATTCGAACCCGGAACCTTTGAATGAGAAGCCAACACCTTAACCTCTAGGCCACGAGAGCCCCCCATATTAACCCCAACGATGGATTTACAACAACAAAAAAAAAAAAAGATTGGGTACATTTCTTCCAGTTGCACAATGAGATCATCGATAGGACACCAAAAGACTGCCATTTCATTTTCAGCTATGAGGCACACAAAAAATTCCATAAACACATTAACGGTGAATATTTTCGAGCTTAAGAGTATACCATACCCTCTAATAAAAAATTAAGGTAATACATTATAATTCTGCAAGGTTAGCATAGCAGGACATTGAATGTCACAATGAAAAAAACAGGAAAAGACCTTTCAGTGGCAAAATTTCTATGAGATTCATCAAATTTCAATTCCACCTGCTGTAACTAAAAACAGAAAATTCTGACTCCACTTGCTGTAACTAAAAACAGAAACTTCTGACATCTCACCTTGGAGGAGAAAATCTGGGAGGTGAACGGCGTCGTGGTGATGGACTTCTCCTGTAGGGAGAAACAAAACGGTTAAAGTTCAGAGTTTGGGTTAAGAAAAACAATGGAAGTCCTTGTTCAGTGCTTGGAAAATGCGTGATGGAAAGACTGAAGAGAGAAAGCAAAGAAGTTGGACTTAACAATAGCGCCCTCCAACCACCAGTTAAAATAAGCTTCTTATGTTTTAAGCTGAAAAATAGAAGAACATCCACACTGTGGTGGACATATTTTGTTGAGGTAGACAAAAACAAGCAAGCGGAAACAATGCAATCTTCTATTTTACAAGAATTAACAATCTTTTACTTTACCAGATTTAAAAGTACCAGTCTTAGAATTATTATAATATTGAACTGGAGAGCCATTCTTGTTCCACAAGGGCTAGCAGTAAAAACTTGTGCACAAAATATCAAGGCCAAGTTTTCATTTAGTTAAAAAACAACAACAACGAAAACAACTTATCCTGCCCATTTTCTCTACCCACCTTCTGCGCACTGGAGAAAACCGCCTGGGAGGGCTGCGGCGTCTTCCGTCTGGTGTCCTATGCCGCCGGACAAATGGTGACGGAGTTCTGCGCCTTTCCCTTTCTCTTCTCCGACCTGAGAACACAGCAACAATGTATATTTAAAAGACATTCATATATATGGAAACATGACAATTCAAATAAACATATTTTTAAATAGCATCTATTACTTGCTTCGAAAGTTACAAAAACTTACATGAAATAAAGCTCCTTTCCTCTCTCAGTACAACTATTATATAAGTTTCATAATTGTCATTTGTAAAAAAACACATCAAAATAAAACAAAAAACAAAACAGAAACATGTCAAAGAAGCTATATCAATATACCGTCCATTTTTCGTTAATGGTTCACACAAAAAAAATGTATCAAAGTACCACAATAAAATTATCATTTTTACTGAGCAGCTGCAACAACAAAACAATTGTAGAAAATGCACTCGTAGGATAATTGTTGCCCCACACAGCTACAAAACCTTCTACACTGTATGTACATGAAACAAATAGTCTGTGAGCAAGCAGGAACACTTACGAGAAACTGATTTTGTTATGGTTTACAAACTCTGTACATGCAACTTTGGACACTCGCATAAAGGACTTGAACATCTTACACTCAGTGGGAAACAAAAGTAAAATTAACTTGAGCATTTGAACAGGTGGGTTAGAAGAAAATAGGATATTTAGAGCATGCAAGCAGAGAAACGAGAGGCAAAAAATGATTGCCAATGTCTACTTCAGACCAGACACTTGATACAGAAGTACCCGTACGCAAAATACAAGGACTTACCATTGACAGGTGGAGGTGACAGGCGATCGTCGTCTGAGGAACCTCCCGACGATGAAGATGATTCGTTCCCACTCCCTTCATCATGTTTTCGGTAATTGCGTCTGTTCTGGACACCACTCTTCTCTGGAGAAGATCCATCGTCATTCTGAAAGGGAAAAAAAATTCATACAATTACTTCTAAAATACTAAAAGCACAACATGAAAAAACATTTACACCAACTAATGAAAACAGGAGCAAAAACATCAAATCGCTTTATTTTTAAATGCTTTTCCATGAAAAATTTTTTTTAGTCTTGAATCAAGAATCTAAAAAAGAAAATCCCCCCTAAAATAAAAACAAAAACAGCAGTTAACCTTCTCTAATCGTCTCAACTGAAGACCATGTCAAAAATCAACCGTTTGCAAAATGAAAGAACAACACAACTATGATGAAATTACATAATCTAAAACTTTCAGTAACTCAAACTTATAGAATTGAGTCTAACAACATCCAGCCTAGGCAAAGAAGTAAATACTTACTCCTCCCTTTGATCTTCCCCGTGGTTTCTCATCACCTTCTGAAGAAGTGGAACTGTCCTCTGAGCTTGATCTACACAACAGAAGAAGAAAAAAAATATACACAAAAATTCATTACACTTCTTAAAATAGAACAAAGAAATCCATATTACCTTTCACCTTGAAAGGAAAATAAAACAGAAAAAAGCACAAGATTATTCAATGAGAAAAAGTACAAGTAGTGAAGAAAAATTCCCTATTGTACAGGTTTCTTTTTTATTAAAAAAGGACCACAGCTTCCATTCATATGAATAGATCTACTATAAACAATACCACCACTGGAGATGTTATACCTTTTTGACCATGGTCAAACAAAGAAAGTCAAATAATTTTTTAAATATTTTTTTTATGGACTTGAGGACAGAAGATGACAACATACCCCTTTGCAAGTAGCTTGTGTAAGTAAAAAGTACTCATGGACACAGACACGATAATTTAATGCAAGGTAAAAGTAAGACAGACAGACAAAAACAACAAAGGGATAAGAAAAGAAAACCTGTCTGTAGCACGCTCTAACCACCACACACACATTGGCTGCTCCTATAAGCTGTTTGGGTAAACAGAAAGACATGGACATATCGACACAATAATGGCCATTTAGTGCAGGACGAAAAGTCAGACAGAAACAACAGAGGGAAAAAAACTGGAGCTTTAGCAACTAGAGGCACTCCAAACTTATAGGACACAAGGAAAAATATCTGTTGTGATTATAAATTCCACACACACGTACTAAAACAAAACACAGCTAAAGACAAAACAAAACACACCCACAGACACACTGTACTTCACACAAACCTGGGAGGAGGTTTTTTCTTTCTGTCTGAGCTGCGACGAGGGGACCTTGACTTCCTCCTGGGTGGTGGAGAAGGTGATCGCCTGATCGGACTCCTGCGTCTGCCTGGAGGTGACCTGCGGCGAGGAGACGGAGACCGTCGTCTTGGAGACCGCGACCTTCGAGGTGACCTAGATCTTCTCCTTCCCGGAGCGGGTGAGTACCGGCTGCGACCAAACCCAGACCTAGATGGAAGAAAAAACATTTCAACAATAACTCAGGGGCTATTTCAAAGTAAAGAGAAGCACATTGAGATATCAGTCATTTACTACTATACTATGATAAGACAAAAATGCCCATAACTTGATTCATACCCTCAATATAATAGGACTTTGTTTCGAGTACTGAGGATACAATTATTGAAATATAATAACTTTTGCCTGAGGTGGACTATTTTCTCACGTTTTCTTGAAAACAGAACAAAACTTTCTTCGATGAGTGTCATGACTATGATATTAAGTGAGAAAGCCAGTAAGGCCAGCAGAAACACAAAATGCAAAAGAGCAAACTGCACCAGCCACTACAAGATAATCCTAGACGTGAATGTTTTTCTAAGAAGAAAGACCAACAGAATAAACTCAGTAAGATTTCTAAATCCTCACCTTACTTTCCCAGGAGGATCTCGCCTGTCAGGTGACCTGGACCTTCCTTTGCGACGCCTGTCTGGAGTCCGCGACCTCCTGAACCTGTCTCTCTTCTTCTCAGGGGTTCTGTCTCGGGTTTTCTCTTTGTGTGGAGATGCCTTGTCTTTTTCAGCCTTCTCTTCTTTTATGACACTATTACGAAAAAGAAATAATATCTTGTATTAATTTAACTTCCTTCCTATCAGAGCTTTTGGCACTATGATTCAACACGACAAGACATTTAAAAAGGAAAAAAAAAAAAAAAAAAAAAAAAAAAACCCAGCATGGTCCATGTAATAATGAACAGAGAAAGCTTTACATTCTTCTCTACGACATGAAGTTCCAATCTTTATAACAGAAATTTCTCCAGATTATACGTCTGTACCATCCCCTTCCCCTGTAGTCTTCACACAATCTAAAACTCATGCCGTACTCACTCTGTAGACTGATTTTGTTCATTCTCATCGGCAGGCTCTTTCTTCATCTCAGCCTCGTCCACTTTGGCACCAGCTGCGCTATCCCCTTCTTCTGCCACTGGTTTCCCATCTTTCACTTCTTCCTTTTCACTTGTGCCGTTTACACTGTGAGAACACAACAAGTTGGTGACAACTACATCAGCAAGTGAGACATACATCAAAATGGATTATAAAGAAAAAGACAAGTAAATACCAATAATAAGAGTAGTAGCTAATAATTTCCAGTTTGAAAGTTTGCTCCCCCTACTAACTCTTCCTCATTAAATAATCTATAACAGTAAACAATCCATCAATAAGGGGTATACTATCAAGACAAGACAATCACTCAAAGTTTACAAGAACAAAAGAAACATTTTGAAAACAGAAAAATAACATCAACAAAACAGGTGTGAGAGAAGGAGAGGGAGTGAGAAACACAGATGGGGAGAAAGAGAAAGACAAAAAGAAGTGGGGAGGAGGAGCCTTGCACAAACCTTTTTTTCTCAGCCTCAAGTCTTTCTTTCTCCAGCTGTTTCTCCAACTCTCTCCTCTCTTTAGCCAGCTGCTCTTTGATTTGTTCCTCCTTCTCCTTCAGAGCCTCTTGTATTCGCTCCTGTTCTTCCTGAAGTCAGAAAACAGTGAGATAGACTTACAACTGATTTTCGCAGAGCACAAAACAGTTCACACAACTTCATACAGCTCTCTTCCTTGCCACAATACTTTGCCCTGAGCCGCTATTACAACTGCAACATTTTGCCCAAATCACAGCAGGACAATAGAAACACAGAAAACCTAGCACAGTAAATTTAACTTTCTTGCAACTTAACTCTACTTAACACTTTGCCGTCTCTCGTCGCCGTACGGCGATGCGGAAGTACTCGCGTTCCCGTCTCATCTCGCCGATCGGCGTTGTGTACCTTAACAACGGGATGGCTCTTAGAGCTCTACAAACACATTATTAGAATGACTTCCCTTTCGTGACATGCGCACTTGTTTTCAATTATGTTTACTTCCGACTGGTTTACGAACGAAAAGGAGGGAAAGATAGCGTCTGTTTGGTCATTTTCGTTGCGAATTTCGAGCCGAAAAGACGCTGAAAATGAGTGATTCGAGCGCGCCTACCAACAGCAGTTTCTTTCACCATGACAGCGACTCGGGACAGTCTGCCCCTGATAATGCAAGCGATATTTCGTGGCATTTAGATGAGGAGAATGATGGTGAATCAACTACGCTTCCAACTTGTCGATCAAGATCGAAAAGAGCTAGAACTTGACCGACGCGTTTTCGGGAATCTTCGTCTTCTGACAGTGACAGTGAGCTTTCCCAGGCACAGCCACCTCCACCGCCCGCCAGGCCTAGACCTACTCGCACTCCCAGGTCTACAACAACTACTCAAGACCCAGAGTTTCACTGGAATCTGTATGATGGGATGGACCCATACAGTAATGACTGGCTCCCTCCATTTCAGCAGCGACCAGGTGTTTTGGTTGACACCACAGACTTTAGATGTATCGACTTCTTTAGTCTTGTTTTCAAGCCAGCTGTGATCGACCTGATAGTAAAACAGACTAATGACTATGCAGCCCGGTGCCTACATGCCCTGCCAGAAACAAATTACTACAAGAAAAGGTGGTCGAATACCAACAAGGAAGAGATGCAAGCTTTCATCGGCCTTCAGATCGCTATGGGTCTCAACCCGAAGCCTAGTCTTGACGACTATTGGAGCTCTTTCTGGCTGGTTGATATTCACTTCCGGCACATCATGTCCAAGCATCGCTTCAAGATCCTGTCTGCATTCTTTCATCTCAGGTAAGTCTAGATCTACCTTACATTTTGATATTTCAGTTTCACTCCTAATTTAGAGTAGATCTAGATCTAGATCTAGATTCTAAATCCTCAAAGCTTTGCCTCTTCATCATGATCATAAATCTGCTGACGCAAAATGTTGTTTGGATATCAGTCTGTCATGTCCAGTTGTCAAAGAAAAACAAAGACGAGGCGTTGTTGAAATCTTCTTTATTTTTTCATAGCATTACATTATAGATCTAGCCAATACTAATCACACTGAATGTATTGAAATTTTTATCATTATTCAGTGCGGTCATAACAATCAAAAGAAAAAAAAATCTTGTTCACGATTCGCATCCCACCACAAATTTCACAAATTGGTAATTGGTTGGTTGTTGTTGATTTGTTGGATTTCCTTTCTTTTTCTTCAGTGATATCACACAGCATGTTCCTCGTAGACAGGATGGCTACCAGCC